GAGCGAAGTTGCAGCGGCAAGAAGGAGGAGATGACTGCGGTGGACTTGGAGGAGAGGAAGGAGATGGCCGCCGATGAGTAATTGTGGAATGTGTAGCACCATGGCGGCGGTTATGCATTCGACGAGAGGGGCGGCGCGTGCAAATTTTTCTAGGACTAAACTGCCCCTAGATTAAAACGCGTCCCCACCTTGTCACGAGTACCGGCCCCACTCGTTTTAGTACTTTCGCGTACTTTCATCGGAGTACTACCCAGTACTTCGTATTTGTCTGCCGTTAGATCGACATCAACAAACGGTTCTAAAAAAGCCCAACCACTCTAAAACTTATAATAAAAAAATATAGACATTCATATAACAACACCAATATCTTTAGATTCATCTTGGAATATATTTTCATATTATATTTATTAGATATTATAAATGCTAATAATTTCTGATATAAATTTGGTCAAACTTAGCAAAGTTTGGCTTTCGGCAAATCCAATGTGCAGAGTAAAAAGGACCGGTGGGAGTACTAGCACAGTGAAGATCAATGTGCAAACCCAAATGGCCCATCCACCACAGATTAAAGCATCCCCTGGCAGCAACACAAACTACTACAAATCGATCGTCTTAAGCAAGTGGTTTTGATGAGACTCGCCTCCCGAAAGAGCGAAGGCCGCTCGTCACTTTCTTCAGGTTTGGCAGCCAAATCTGGCGCCTAATCATTACAGATCCTTCGATTTGACCTGACGGCACTGCCGATCGAGCACCCAAGTCCTGGTTAATCCAATCTCTTCCGGAGGCCCTGCCGATGTGCAGCGACGGGACCAAACTTGATTAACCGTGGGCGCCATGCCCCTCATGCAAACACTTTGAGTTTCCTTGCAGACAGTTTCCACTGAATAATCTCGTGAGCGATTCTGTGGGCTACACATATATATGCACTTAATCTTACTTTTGTGTACAACGTTGGTTCATACTACAAGTGATTACTGTGTTTTCTTAGACACAATTTGAGGTTTAGATCAGCCTTTAACCGGCCCATTACCTTTTACTAGCTTTTTATATGGGATATTATTCGCGGTCCAGGGATAGGATAGATGCCTATGCCTGCCATCGTGCAAGCTACGGGCATAGAGAACACATAGCCATTACATGATGATGATGCAGGTCGCTTTCCCTCAGGAGGCCACAGAAAGTGTTCCTACTTCCTATCTACCGCTGCTACGTCCATAGGAACCGATTCCGGCCAAAAGCTGCGCGGAGCCTGAGTGGAATTTAGGCAGAACCTCAGCCATATTCAAGAAAAATGATCATGTTAATTAGGGGCAGTGTATTTGTTTTTTAAAAGTAAAAAAGATTGCCATTTTCATTAATTAATTAAGAAGAGAGCAAAAAGTGTCCCGTTAATTTGTGAGAACTTGGCTAAAATTGTAACAACAACAGCCGCCATGCCAACACAATCCCTACACACACTTCTCATTCATCCACCTTGGTATGCTTCCTTTCTTGGGCTTGATTCTTCACTGCAGCCTCTTTGCCTTCCTCCACCTCTTTGATTTGTTATTTTACCTTTGTTTACCATGATTAAGAGCTTTGACTTATGTTTACTAGATCTAGCATCGATAATCAACGTAAAGTGTGCTTTGCCAGGCTAAGTATGATACCATGGTATTATTAGTTATCCCGACAACAAGTACGATCAATACCAATCTTGTTTTGCATTGGGATGAAATTGTGTACATACGATTTGTCAAAATCATTAAAAAAAATCATACACCTTAAATTCGAACAAATATTAATAAAAAAGAACAATGGCATATCAATCGATAAGCGCTTGAAAGAGATAGAGATTGACACATCAAAGAGGGTAACTTAATGTGGCAATATATGAAAATCATGAAACACGACAACCATTAATTTGGTTCCATTATATGGTGTATATTCTATTCATTGTGGTATTTACTACTATTATCTATTGATTTCTCTATAATTTTTCCGTGTGATCATTTTTGTTTATATTTTTCTCTAGATTTCTTTTAGTGCCATGTTATAAAGCAAATCGTTCGAAGTTTTCTTCTGACAAAGGGTGTATTTATTGATTCTAAATAAAGCATCAAATGGATAAAAATACCATGAGCACACATCCAACCTCTACATAGCTAGGATACATACAACCAACACCAAAACGCACACACAAATAAACACACTGTCAAATAGCAAAGTCAGAAGACCAAAAGTATGCCTAAGCAAAAAAAAACCCAAAGTGATCAAAATAGTGATCAACAAACTACAGAAGCGACCATATGTACACCAACCATCTCTAGACATCACAAGGACAAAGAAGGTCTTCCACAACAACACCTTCAGAAAGGGAGCAACGCTCAATCAAAACACCAAAGATTAGATTCTAAGTTTTCATCCTGCAGAACAAGTCCAATCATACTTAACCAGCAATGGGAAGGACCATTGGAGCCCAACCTCTGTGCTTGTTGGAGATCTCAGCTGCCACTTGCAGCAGAAGCCTTGCCCCTCTGACTTGCACCCCTCATTATTTTCGTTACTATAATAATTTTCAGAATTCTAACCAATAGTCAGATTCCGTAATTGCTTGAAGGATCATAGGGATAAATATTCTCGAAACATGGTTTATTTCTAGATTTCCACAAAGCTCACAACATCGCAACAACTCCTACTGCTATATTCCCCACTAGCTTTTCTAGGAACACCAAAAATCCAACCACAAAAGTCATGTACATATCCTACATTCATATCTATCCCGAGAGCACACTTGACCACATACCTCAAGCATAACTAGGCAAAGAGCAATGGAAAAATACATGATCTAATGTTTCTTTCTCATTACAAAATCTGCACTTATCACTACCAAACCATCCTCTAGCAAACAAGCTATCTTTTGTGAGTATACTATGCCCAAACATAATCCAAAGAAAGACCTTAAATGTCAACGGAACTTTAATAAACCAAAGCTTATTATAAGGACAATCTACCCGTATAACCTTCAACATATTATATAAAGATTTTACCAAGAAGTTACCAATGTATAAAATGGCAGAGATATAGATGGATATAAGCGTATGAAAGATAGGAATTGACACACCATAGCAGAATAATAAAATGTGCCAACATATAAAAAACATGAATCAAGGCAAAACCATTAATTCGGTTCCATAATATGGTGTATATCCTATTTATTGTATTTATTTACTATTACCTATTGATTCCTCTACAATTTTAGTTTTCCACCGTGTGATCGTTGTTGTTTATATTTTGTAGATTTCTTTTAGTACCACGCTAATCGAATAAATCGTCCAAGATGGAATACATTTGATGCGAAAGCCTGCCAAAAGCATCATTACCATAATCAAGTTCTATAAAATTCCACACATTACCTGTACCCTATTCGATGTAAATATACTTGTACTGTCTAATGTTAGTATACTCATGATAGTCGTTGTTTATATTCTGCTTTAGAATCTTTTTAACATGAATATTGTATTGCTAGAAATTAGTCGTATGCTAGAGCGGTCGTTATAAATGTGGGTGGCGTGTGGTTACCCTCCCACCCTCCTCACTCGACACCTAGCGAGAGAAGTGAGGCGGAGCCGCGGAGGCCGGGAGAAGAGGACGCCGCGAGGGGGAAGGAAGACCCGGCCGGTCGAGAGGCGGAGCTGCGGGATCCCGAGAAAGCCGCGGCCAAGTAACCGCACCCACTCTGCCGCCAACTTTGCAGTCTCGGCTGCGGGCGGCCTGCCAGATAGCAGCGCAGTAAATTCCGCCGGCGCCTTGCAGCTTTACTCCCCCTCTCCGGCGACAGGTTGGTGCTGGCTGTTAATTTACTGGCGTGCATATATAGCCACTGATGCGTGTGTTCCTCTGTTCCCTGCAGCCATTGTTACATCGGGTTCTTGGTTTCCTTCCTGTCGTGGGCGTAGAGAGAGAGAGAGAGAGAGAGAGAGACAAGCGGGAGGATGGTGCCGGGGGATCAGGCGGAAGAGTCCATCGTGGCCATGGCGGACGGCGGCCACGGCGGCGGCAAGGAGGGGGCGCGCGTGATGGACGGCGGCGAGGAGTCGGAGCGCGGGCACGGCGACGGCGGGTTCACCGTGAAGGACATGCTCTGGCACGGCGGGTCCGTGTGGGACGCCTGGTTCAGCTGCGCCTCCAACCAGGTACGTCCGTCCGTCGCATCCATCTTCTTCCCCGTCGCTTCGCTTCGCAACGAAACGAGACCTCATCGTCGCCGGATCGGATCCGCGTGGGTGCGTGCGTGGGTGCAGGTGGCGCAGGTGCTGCTGACGCTGCCCTACTCCTTCTCGCAGCTGGGGATGGCCTCCGGGCTGGTGCTGCAGGTGTTCTACGGCCTCATGGGCAGCTGGACCGCCTACCTCATCAGCGTGCTCTACGTCGAGTACCGCGCCCGCAAGGAGAGGGAGGGCGTCAGCTTCAAGAACCACGTCATCCAGGTCCGTCGGCCCGTCCATCCATCACTCCACTCCACTCCGCCCCAGTCAGTTTTTCAGTTTCCATTTTCTTCTCCGGCTTTCCTGCATACGTTTCCAGTAGTCTCTAGTCGATCTGCACCGGAACTGGATCCCTCCATCCGTCCCCTCGCGATCGTGATGCTCCGGAGTTGGGGACGGAAAGGCGCTTTGCATGCGCTGCTGTGTGGACTTGACCAGTTCCTTGTCGCTGAAGCAAAACCGCACTGGGAGTAAGCATGAATGCATTATGCACGCATGCATGCACCCATCCGTATCCATCTTCACATCAAACTCGAATGTACTCCTGTACTACACAGTGCTAGTAAATTCTCAATTGAATTGATTGGTTTTCTCCCTTTCTGAGTACTACAGTGGTTCGAGGTTCTGGGCGGGCTGCTGGGCCCGTACTGGAAGGCGGCCGGGCTGGCCTTCAACTGCACCTTCCTGCTCTTCGGCTCCGTCATCCAGCTCATCGCCTGCGCAAGGTTCTTCATCCCTTTCCTTTACATTTTGTCACACACACACACACACACACACACACACACACATATATATATCAAGTGTTTATCTGTTGGAGTCTTGGAGATGAACTGACTCGTGGAAGAAACGACCTATGGGCTATGGCAGTAATATCTACTACATCAACGACCGGCTGGACAAGCGGACGTGGACGTACATCTTCGGGGCGTGCTGCGCCACCACCGTCTTCATCCCCTCCTTCCACAACTACCGAATCTGGTCCTTCCTCGGCCTCGGCATGACCACCTACACCGCCTGGTACCTCACCATCGCCGCCGCCGTGCACGGCCAGGTACGCACGCACGCTCACTCATTTGTCCCGACATCACTACAAGCCAGCATCCCTTGTTGGTGATCGGCACACGGGTTGACACTACGCTAACCAACGACGACACCGACGATCGATGTCTTTCTGTCGGTCGCAGGTCCCCGGCGCCAAGCACTCGGGCCCCAACAGCCTCATGCTCTACTTCACCGGCGCCACCAACATCCTCTACACCTTCGGCGGCCACGCCGTCACCGTGTAAGTACTAAGTACCACTCCTCTGTAAAGAAGTAGTGATCTAAACGCTCTTATATTTTTTTTACGGAGGAAGTACAAACAATCTAGCGGGCTACGGTTACTGAATTAGTGCACCACAGACACCAATATCTATCGTCTGCACTTTCACCTGGTGCAGCTTTTGCATAGTGCTGCGCTAGGGAGGTCGTGGATAGAGTTGAAAACTGAAAATCTCTAGTGCTGATTGTCTCCATTGCATCCTTCGTTGGTCCCCCACCTCCAGGCCAACTTGCTTCACAATTCGTACCAATCCTGATGAGTTAAAAATGGTTCACGGTTCGTGGAAAACCAGCTGTCGTGGCTTCTTACCGTCGGCAGGCCGGCACTAAAGCCAGCTGCTAGCTATGTGATCAACACTTACAGTCCTACTCAGTGCCCTCTGCTAGGCACTATGAATTTCAATACTCCTCATGAGCAAGCCTTTATGCCCCGACCCTTCATTCCCTAGCTCATCCCCATTCTTAATACATGACTGCTCGATCCATGATGATCCTCGTGCCGCGACTAATGATTATAGCCAACGCGATCGAGGAATAATCGGTGCCCGTATGTGTGGTGTTCAAATCCCCGGTTGTTAACTGGAGAGGCCTTTGTCTTAAGAAATTCGGCTGCGTTTTCTTTTTCGGTGATAGAAATGCTCTTTCCAGTCTAGCGATTAGATGATGTTGACCGGCTTCCATTTTGCTAGTGCGGAGTTCACATCAAGATCAAGTAAACGAAATCCGTGCTCGTGCGGGCCATCACTTCTCTATAATTCCCAGTCTATTAGTAGCAACTAGCAACCTTTGGTTAGTGGAGAACTGGAGATAATGGCCTACTTTGGGTATTCCATCCAAAATCCTTCAGTTTGAGTGCCTGACAAATGACAATGGCCCTTCTCATTTGCCATTCCTTGCTATAGAAGCTATTCAAGGATTCATTTGGCCTTGATTTAATAGCCTTGAAAAGTGGGTGAGAGTTGAAAGTTGGGCGAGATTCCTCACGTCCCCATCCTCCTAAATGTCCTCCTGACTAGGAGAAGCACTGCTTTTCATTCCATCAACCCTAAAGCATATAGGTGTACGTAGTACGCTAATTCCAAAGGGTTTATATTCGCATTATGCATCTGTTTTTTTCTCTTGAAAAGATTCTATTCTCTATGTAACTGCCTGCCGTTATGATAAGATGATCATTTTTTGGTAATAATTAACTGATCGATCAGGCAATATGTTGCTTCCACGAAATTGTTCATGCACTCTAGTTGCTTATAGTACTTTTTTTTAGAGAAGTTGCTTATAGTACTTGGAAGTTGGAACAGCCCAATATTTTTGTACATAGATAGAAACTGACTTGGCTGTGCGCATGCATGCAGGGAGATCATGCACGCGATGTGGAAGCCGCGCAAGTTCAAGTACATCTACCTGGTGGCGACGCTGTACGTGTTCACGCTGACGCTGCCGTCGGCGTCGACCATGTACTGGGCGTTCGGCGACGCGCTGCTCACGCACTCCAACGCCTTCTCGCTGCTCCCCAAGTCCGGGTGGCGCGACGCGGCGGTGATCCTCATGCTCATCCACCAGTTCATCACCTTCGGCTTCGCGTGCACCCCGCTCTACTTCGTCTGGGAGAAGGCCATCGGCATGCACCACACCGGCAGCGTCCTCCGGCGCGCGCTCGCGCGGCTCCCCCTCGTCCTCCCCATCTGGTTCCTCGCCATCATCTTCCCCTTCTTCGGGCCCATTAACTCCGCCGTCGGCGCGCTCCTCGTCAGCTTCACCGTCTACGTCATCCCCGCCGTCGCCCACATGCTCACCTACCGCTCCGCCCACGCCAGATCGGTAAGCTTGCTTGTCTTTGTCCACGTCCGTTAGCGCGCGCCGTGTCGGTCGGTATTACATGCTCTTGTTTGACGTGGTGTTTCTTAACAGAATGCGGCGGAGAAGCCGCCGGCGTTCCTGCCGAGCTGGAGCGGGATGTTCGCGGTGAACGCGTTCGTGGTGGCGTGGGTGCTGGTGGTCGGGTTCGGGCTCGGCGGCTGGGCCAGCGTGTCCAACTTCGTCAAGCAGATCGACACCTTCGGCCTCTTCGCCAAGTGCTACCAGTGTCCCCCGAGGGCGCACCTCCCGGCAGCGGGGTCGCCCCTGTCAGCGCCGGCGGGCCACTAGGGCACGCCGTCGAGCAGACCGTGGCAATGTCACAGCCGGACAGAAGAAGCTCCGGTCGATCCGTGCACTAGAGTTCCGGCTTTAATTTGTTGCTAGTTACTGATCGCCTTGCGATATAGCACTACAAACCTTCTAGAGTGTTACTGCAGCTAGCATAGTAGAACAGCCCTCCGTGTTTGTCACTGCAGGCTATAAGTTTGGAAAAAAAATGGTATCCTTTTGGTATAGCTTGGGTTCATTTCCGTGGATTTATCTTTGTACTTCTGAAAATGTAGATGGCTGATTTCCAAAAGTTCACGTGAGAATGCAGTGTCAAAAACGGCCTTATATTATGGGACGAAGGAAGTAGGAGTCAAGCATTTTCCAAATTTGGATCCCCTTAGTTTACATTACTTATAGCAAGAAGGTAGATTGTTTTGCTATAACCAATGAAGCGGTGCATTGGCGATGACGGGCGGAGTCACGTGTTTGCTGTAACCATAAGGCGGCGAGATGCAACGCCTGCCGGCTGAGGCTACGTGTCAGCGATCATGCTGCTGCGCCCATCCACGGCTGGAGCTGCAAGCAGCCATGGCCGAACCTCTGCCTAGCGAGAAAGCAAAAATTAAGCCCTAAAAAGCCAAAGATGTTTGGTTGAAAAAAATATATGCCAAAAACAGAGAGGGTAACCCTCACAGAGTCTGTTTTTGTTCATTTTAGACAACAATGAAACATAATGATGTAAAGCAAATACTATTGAATATGAGAGTTTTACCCACTTGTAGTGGCCGGACGCCATTACCGCAATTTGATGGCTCTGGAAAAGCAACGAACAACACATTTATCCATTTGAGATAAATCATCGGTGTCTTTAGAGGTCATTTTTACTAACTTGGTCCGCTCTTGTAAGGGTTATATTCGTCTCTTTTGAGTGGATGTTTTAGTGGTGATATTTCCTTTTTAGAATCTCAAAATGGAACGACGGGCATGGCAAGTGAGTACCACCGCCCTCCGTCTATAGTGTGTGTTTGGTGTGTTTTTGGCTAATGAGACAAGGGGCAACAAGGGGCCGCTTGGGTTTGTATCGCGTGTGTTTGGGCGGTTGAGCCCTCAGCCCCTTGTGGGTTTGTACCATGGACCTTCATTTTATTTTCTTAAACCTTGTAAACCGTAAAGGCTCCAGTTCGTTAAATTCGGACAAGTGTCTAGTTTCTAAAAAAAACTTGAACGGAGAAACATAAAGAGAAGATTTTCATAAGTCCATCCTTGCAACCATGTAGTGATTTTGGTTGTCCGATTTCTCTTATTACCAACGTGCTTGTGTTGGTGATGTAAGAAAAACAAAAATGCTAAAAACCTAACATTAGATTATTTTTTAAAGCATGGAAACTTATGTTGTAGTAGGGATGACAATTTTCTTTAGCAAGCAGGGCAATTCCTTCTTTCCTTTAGCGAGCAGAGCAAATTCTGTAAAAAAACGAAGGCCTCCTTCGATTTGGAGAAATTTTGTAGGAATTCTATAGGGAAATTTTCTTTACAGTCCTTTGGATTGTAGGAATAAAATTATATTCCTATGAAGGATTCTTCATATCCTTGATATTTCATAGGAAAACAAATATTAGTCTAGACTCAATGGAAAAATGGTGCTGCTACGTGTCAGCCGTCGGATTTGATGAATTGAGCGACCAAGCGTCATCTTTTATCATTGCAACACATGTCGTGTTGTGGGAAATTTTTGCAATGCGGATCATGTTGCAGAAATTTTTGGAAGATATTTTTTCACAACAGAGGCCTTGTTATAGCTTTTTTTGCAATAGAGGCCTTGTTGCAATTTAGTTTTTTTTGCAATAGATATCTCATTGCAAATTTAATTTTTCTGCAATAGAGGTCTTGTTGCAGTTTTTGCAATAGAGACCTTGCTGCAGAAACTCATCGTAGTGGACAGTGAGCAGCGAGTAGTGGCCACGTTGACGGAAAGAAAAAAAAGGACCACTCGGTTAGGACACGCGTCGTACAGATGAGCCGGCGAATGCTCGCCAAGCATTTTCCATGGAAAAAATCATATGATGTGAGCAAAGGACATCTCTTTTCCTATTCATATTCATGGAATTTGATATAAATGTCATCTCATTTCCTATAACTTTTCTATCCTACGAACCAAAGGAGACCTAAACATGAGAAGGATTTACCATGCTTGCAAAAGAAAATGAACATTCCCGCGAGAACATATTTTGCCATCTCGAACGTTCGATTGTAGTGAAATCTAGAAAAAGTAGTTGTATAGCTAACTTCATGATTGTGTTACTATTAGGAAAATGACTCGATGGCTATGTGACTCCTGACTTGCCGTAATATATTGACTTCGTTAATTCTCACCTAGATAAGAATTAGCACATCCACTTTTTTTAACACATAGCGATAACATAGTTTGTTTATAGGTTTCCACATTGTTGTATTCAAGAATCAATATTGTTTAGTACAAAAAGAAAGAATAATAGGAATGATGGATAACCAAATATGACGTCCAACGACAAGAGAGGCCAGAGCCTTTGCAAAATCATGATCTTAAAAGTTGTGTTCTCTAGCCTCGTGAACAACTTCTGATAGGCTGAGAGCAACTAAATAGTTTAGAAAGGTTTTTTTAGATCGTAGCATTAACATAAGGAGCAACTAAATGAGGGGTACCTCTTACAGGAACCTATCAAGGGTCACTTTTGGTAGGCTGAGAGCGTGCCACAGCCACTGCCACTGCCGTGCTTCCTTGGGATTCATTTTTTAATTTTCCTGCACATGTTTTCTAGTTTTAGATGATTTATTTTTGGCTTTTTGCCCGGTTTTCCCAAGGTTTTTCACAAAAAAAATCAGGGAAAAATTATGCGAGAAAATGCATTTTTTTCATCCATGAAGGATAGAAAAAGAAAAAGAACATGTTTTTTTTCGTGATAGACACACATTTACTTCTTGTGGAGACACAGATTTGCTTTCACGAAAGGAACAATTGTGCCTCTAGAAAAAAATCATTTCTTTTTTGCCTTCGCAAGAGTCACAGATTTACTTCTCGTGGAGACATATGTGTGCTTCCGCGAGAGGCACGACTATGCCTCTTGGAAATAAAAAATGGCATTTTTTTATTCCGCGAGAGGCATAGGTTTACTTCTCGTGAAGGCGTAGATTTGCTTCCGTGGGAAGCACAATTGTGACTCTTAGAAAAGGAAAAATACTATATTTTTTTTGCTTTCTTGTGAGACACAAATTTGTTTCTCATGAAGGCACATATTTACTTTTGCGAGAGGCACATTTGTGCCTCTTCTGAAAAGGAAAAAAAACAAGTGAGAAAAAGACGTGCTTCCAGCTCGGGTTTTTTTGTCATGTTTTTTTCATAAAAATAAGTTTTCCAAAACCTATCAACTTTAGATCTAGTTTTTGAAGATTTAGACGTGATAAATCCAAAGATGAAAAGGGTTCAAGATTTGGAAGCACGGTTTAAGAGATAAAGTATTTTAAAATAAATGAATTTATGAAAAAGAAAAAAACTCTCAGATTGTGACAAGTGATGCACTTGCAACCTGAAAGGTGAGAGTGACATTTGCAAAGGGTAACCTGCAGTTAGTTTTTTTAGGGGTAAGAACAAGCTTTATTCATCAAAATCCACATGTAGTGGGATATAATGATGGTCACGAAGTTGGCCAAACCAAACGTGACGCCCCGGACCTCAAGAAAGCGAGAACTTAGCTAAGCTACGTGCTTCATAATTGGCAGCACGACCTTTAAACAGGAAATTACAATGAAAGTTTAAAGCTTTGAGATTGATCTCGGTAATGATAGCGCCGTATCTACCTCGAGCACCCTTGGATATATCAGAGATTAGTTGTTTGCAGTCTGATGATATGACCAAATTCTGAAGATGTAGGGCTTCTCGACATGCAACCGCTTTCAGTGTGGCAGGGTCAAACACTCCCTCAATGATATGAGCCGAACTCCCAAGTTAATTGCCATCTCTATCCCTACATATTGCCGCTGTTGATCCTCCTCTTCCGTTTAGAGCTCTGGCATCAATGTGGATCTTACAATACCCCATCGGTGGCATCTTGGGCACTCTCCGGACTGCTACATGTGGTGTTAGTCCTTGTTGAGAATTGTTCTGGTGTTTTTCATCTATGATATTAAAATTGTCTATAAACCTGGTGATAAAACTGTCGGTCATATGTGGATTTTGAAAGATCGACTCGTGATTGGCCTTACCCTGCAATTAGTTTTTTTTAGGAAAATCTTACCTCGTAATTAGTTTTTTAGTCTAAACATACTTTGCTTTATTAATTGAACAAGTTCAGGGGATACAACGTAAGTCTGGCGGGTTTAAGAGCCACACATGGCACTCGAAATCCAGACCAAAAGTATGTTTAGCAAGGCTATGTGCCTCGATATTAGACTCTCGTCCTTCGAAGATGAAGGAAAACTGCTGAAAGTTTCTAGATGTTTATGCAATTTTTTTGATAATGTTTGCATAAATGCCTCCGTGTTGTTTTTCAACCTTGGGAGATGAACGATGGGATAAAGCCCAACAGTCCTTATCAAAACCAGATGAAAATGGGCTTCCCGTGTATCCATATAGTTTACAGATTTCTTAACCGTTATGATATTCGTTGCTAAAAAAAGCCGTTGTGATATTTGTTAAAAAAAAACGTCATGATATTCCCATTACAGAAACGTTATGATTTTCTGTGAATAAATACTGGATTTAAGCGAATCAACTCAGCTGGATATAAAAGCCAAATTAAACCGTTCAAGCGACGCCTTTGCGATCGCATCAAAATCACCGCCCGGCCAAATCCAGCGGCGCAATACTCCCCACCCACTTTGTCCCTCTCCTCCCTCCCCAGTCGCAGTCCCCCCCGGCGCTCGCACGCGCCCGCCCGATCCCGGATCCCCGATCCCCCCCTGCGCGATGGCGGCCAGCCTGTGGCGCGCGGTGATGGGCTCCTCCTCCTCCCCCTCGTCGGGCGGCGGCGACGACCCGGCGG